CATTTAGAAGAAAAAGAACCAGAAGGCTAAGTGAAAAGTACAAGTGGATAGAGTCCAGCAGAGGGAGCAGGAGACTAAAGGCATAATTTTGAAGGTCTCAGATTCTGAATTTAATAAATAGAAATTTCCTATTTATACTTTCTATGTAGCTCAAATACCTCTTCCTTCTGCCTTAATATCCAGTGCTTCTGACCCCCATTACAGCCACATTGTCTAGGAGGGTTATGTTCCTGTTTATGCTTTCATATAATCAGCTGCAGGACAAGCAGCAACTCTGCAGCACGGAGATGCATTTGAGATGGTGTGTTAGTGAAGAAACAATTTGGGTCTGGCTTGGGAACAGCTATGTAATTTGGGAATGAGAACTAATGGAGCTTTCCTGGGAAAACAGTGTTTCTTACAGGACACAGGGAAGAACCTTTGATGCTCTGCAATTCCTAATTTGCAGCCCATTCAGCAGTTTCTGTCTTTACCTTTTCCTACTGTGCCCGCCTCTATTTGTAAAAGGAGTCTTCTAGTAGTTGTGCTTGAGCCAGGCTTGGGGGACGCGCGCTCGATCTGACTCAAGGACATCCATTCACCAACTGGCCGGATCACTGAGCAGTGACAAACACGTCTTGTGCTTGAAGATGCATCTATAATAAACATTGTTCTTTACAAGTCACTTCCATCTCCTTTTCTCTCCTTGAACTAGCAGTATTTTTGTTTGCTCCTTACAATTTTGTTTGGCTTTTACTATACATTTGTACAATTCTTTCTAAAGTCAGTTTTGCTTTCTGTGTTTCATACTAGTTTAAAAAATACTGGCTCAACTGAAACCCCAAAGCAGTTTGTCATTGATTTCAAGGAGGCGGGATTCCAAGCAGTGTCATTTTGTACCTTGCATGGAGGTAATCCAGGAGAAGAGCTCCTGGAGCAAAGAACTGCTCCGCTTGAGCAAGGATGGCAGAATGTGGTCCTTTGTGTAGCGAGCTGTTCGGGTGCTATAACAAGAGAGTTGCTTTTAAGACAGATTCACCACTGCTTTTTGCAATCTCCATCACCTGCTTCTCTCTCAAAATCACGTGTTTAGATTTGAAGAGCTTGCTTTGTTGGTATTGTGTTTATTTTTGACATGGATACAATACAATGGACACATTCTGTGTGGGCTTACTTCAACAAAACACATAACATAATGAGGATCGTAAGGGAAACGTACATACAAACATTTTGCTTTGATTAGTGGCATCGTATTATTTTCCAGAAAAGACACACATTAATGGAAAGCCATTGAAAAATAAAACCTGAAATACAGTATGTTTGTATTTGTTAGCTATTAATCCTAAGATCTGATCTCATAAGGTTCACATTACAAGCAGTAATTGAGGCAACACGGTTTGGATAGAATTTCATCCATATCCTGAAATATATCTTTAATATATATTTTTTGATAAATTCCAAATCTTGCCCCTTAGGAGGAGAAACATGTTATCAATGTAAAAGACTAGTGGCGAGGTGAAATTAATAATGGAAGGCTTTGGAATACTAAACCTCTAAGCCAAAATATTTTTCCTGGAAAACGCAGAGTGAGGTAGTTAATATTGTACATAGACACTGACACATTTGCACACACGCACACATTCTAATGACATTAGCTGCATGAACAGGTTAGAACATTCCAGTCTGTTTCCAATCCCTACTTCTTGCAATACACTCTCTCTCTCTCAGTGTTTATATGCAAAATGCTGTCTTTGTAGAACCATGGAGCACATAAATGCTTGAGGCGTCTTTGGAGTTTGCTGAATGAGTTTCTCCCTGCTTGCTACCGCTTTCTTATTAATAGCTTTCCACATATATTGCTTTTTGTTAGGAGACAATCCCATCATAACTTGGTTTTGACTTCAGCTGCTGTTAGGAGGAACAATATTCCAAGTACCTCTACCAGCATTGTGAAACAAGGCCTAAAGCTGAGATCTTGGATTCAAAAATGTCATAGATTGTTCAGTTTGCTGCATATTAAATCAAGTTAGTGTACCACAACAACACAAAACAACTTAATGTCTAACAGTATTAACCAGAGTACCCATGGGTCATTAGGTCCATTTGTATCCAAAAAGACTTTTGTCATTCTGTTTCAGAGACAGCAGGTATTTGGCTATGCTGTAGTAGTCTGGGCACTGTAAGTAGAATTTGGTTCATCTGCCAATATGCATGTCTTATAAAGTTCTAGGCAATTTTAGTGTAAAACGAGTGTTCACAGGATGGATTTGATTATATCAGATTTGGCTTTCCTAAGTTGCAAAGTGGTAAAAGGTGAAAGTCTTCCAAAACCTCCTTCTATCCTGTACGGAAACAGTGAGATCTGTTTCAGAAATAGTTTGATGAAGTTCTCACTTCAGGGTCCAGAACGTGCTGGGCCAGTTACAGTGTGAGCATGAGTGCTCTGTACTTTCCCTTGCACGGCCATTGAGAACAGAGGGTGAACTGAGCATGCAAGATGGAGGAGATCATTGTATTTGTCTGGAAGTACTGTAGGAAGAGTTCTCTCATTTGCTACGACATTTCAAATTCTTTAGTTAATGTTTAGGCTTTCTGTATAGTCATAAAAGCTCTTTCCTTGGCTATAAATACAACGATGCTTAGCATTTATATGATGTTCTTCGTATTCAAAGCACTTTCCACATAAAATCCCTTTGCTGAGTTTGTCCTTCCTAGATGGATGTTCATAACTCCTGTTCTGCTCAGGAAATTATTTGGCTGCATCTGAGCGCAGAATTTAACTCAACTAATTCTCATGTTACCTTTATAAGGAAAGCAATCGTCCTGTTTTACAGCTAAAAGAAAAGGGCAGCATAGTAGAAAGAGTTGTCCATTGCTACAGAGGGAACTAAAAGGAATTGGGAACAAAGCACTTGACAAAACATTTATGCTTAGTCCCATGAACAAACCACAGATCTACTATCTCTCATATACTTAAAATAAATAGTTGTCAAAATAAGCAGCGTATTTTATAATAAAACTGTCCTGGTCTTAACCTGGATGCAACTGTGCATCCATTAGTGTTTATTAAAAAAAAAAAAAAAAGGAAAGTTAAAAATGTTACTGTTTTAAAGAAAATTAAAGAATAATATTGCTAAATTTTACCATTTTTTTATCTCAAGAAGGTAGAAAAGGCAGACGGGATCTGCCCTCTGCAGACATTATTGTTGCTGGTAAGATTACTGATTTAATGTTGATTTCCTTCACCGAACACTAGCAATGAAAATTAACTACTGCAGAACATGAGTAACTTTGAACCAAGAAGTAGGGTTTCTAGAATGTGAAAATCTTCATCGTACAGCTTCAGCAGAGCACCACAAGTTACAGGTTTCTCTAGGACAGCGTTCTTCGTGTTCACCTGGAGGACTTGGTTCAGAATGCTTTTACATCGCTACCTGGCAAACAAAGCACCAGCTTCTGCCTCATCTGCGTGTCCAGACGAGGAACAAAACTCACAGATTGTGGGTGAATTCATTGTGCAATATTGTCATCCAATGATGGAGACATTGCAGTGCAGTTGGAAGGCATTAGTTCCCATTTTTTGCATAAGACAAAGATGAAAAAAATACTTGTCATTTGCCAGAGACTTGTGATTTCCCTACTAAACAAGCATGCTTTAGTTCTATAAAGTACAGCCCAAAACCGGAGGATTAGGTGAAGAATGGTGCTCGCCCTTGTGACTGGCTGCAAACTAGACATACTGTCTGACATCTGCAGTGCTGCATTCCCAGTGCAGTTGCAGCCCACTGTACTCTTGTCAGCCTCAGTGTTTCCATAGATGGCATGCTATCTGTAAAAGGAGCTGCACTTTGCTATGTATTTGTAAAACCTCCAGCACAACTGGGCCTACTTTGGCTATGGTTTTAAGGCCCTAATGTATAAATGTTAAATAAAAAATCCCTCTGCTCGCTGGATGCTCTTTTTCTTCTCCATGCTGTATTATACAAGATCTGGACAAAGATATCTCTCCTCAATGCAGCTGAATAATATAAAAGTTGCTTACATATTAAAGCTAAAATAAACAAAATGAAAAGAATTAGGTTACAAATAAAGAAACTATAATGTTTAACAAAAAAAAGGTGATGGCTGTAAGTGGCACCATTAACATGTATTTTGTATTATGGCATTACACAAACTTAAATCTGAGTGTATCATCAGGTAAAACATGGAGCCAGGGGAATATGCCCCTTCCCTCTGAGCATTTGTCTCCCAAAGCTTGTGTGTGTGACAGGGGAAGGAAGGAGAAAATGGTTTGTGGCACTACAATTGCACACAGTAATGTGATCCAGACAGACAATTTTGAAAGTCTGGTAGTATTATATATGGTGGTACATACATAAAGCAGTATAGCTGTCTATAGAGTAGTTCTTTCTCTGCCTCCCTCGCTCCCCCAGCATCAGGTACTCGTGAGGAGTGACTGAGAGACATAAATATTGCAGTAATGCATGCTGTACAGGTTTACTTTCAGCAGAAAGGTGTGATTTTGTCACACAGCTACGTCTTGGCATGGCTGCAGGTCAAGCTCCTCTCTTCCATGCTTCACAGATACTTTTCTTGAATGTCTCTGTGATGCTTCTGTGTTATGCTGTGGTCGGTAGTGTTTCATGCATCCGTGAATGCCACTAGATTCTTCCCAAAAATTCATGTTCTAACACCAGGTCAGGAAATAAGCAACTCCTTGTGCGACAGGTTGTTTTCTGTGCACCGTACCTTGGTCCGTCCTCCGTAACTCCTGGGCCAACTGGCACAAGTGTAACCCATATGAAAGCATAACTGATGTGATATTCTCAGATGGTCCAGAAGCTGGAGTGATAATGTTTATACCAAAAGTAGTGCATGGTGACCATCAATTGGACAGGACAGTAGGAAGGAATGATATCCTGTAACTACCATTTTGTTTCGTCTCTGCCAAGAGCTTCTTAAAATGACAGGCATCACTGTTGTCCATTTTGCTTTTGTCCAGTATGCCACAGCCTTCTGCTTCAGCTTGCTTTTGGTTTTATCACCCATTCTGCCTGAGGATTTGCACGGTAAACATCTAACATGTATGCATCTGGATCCAAACAGTGCTGACCTGAAACGGAAATCGACAGCCATGAATCACAGGATGTTTTGAGGACATTAGTAAATGGGACAGAGCCACGTTAAAATGTCCTTGAAAGTATCTCCGACTTGCACACAGCAACCCTAGTTTGGTGTGTCCAGCTGACAAGTTGCCTGGATACAGACAGGGGCTTTGGTAAATTTGCCAGTGATTTTACTCAGGGAGAGTCATGAATTCACTTTCACTTCCAGACAAGATACGCTGCATCACACTGAGTTAGGGACAAGGCATTTAGTCTAATGGTGAACAAATATTATGGTTCGTTTAGAAGCATTAACAACACTGTTACTGTAAGTGCCACAGTATGGGGATTTTTTTATTTCTTTGGATTTACTGGGCTGGAATTACAACTCTGTGACTTCATTTCTACTACACTATTTTTAAATGCTGAAAATATAGCTCTGTAAACCATGTGTTCCCATCCAGCTAGGATCTTGCAAAGAAATATAAAGAGTATATCAAGGTTTTTGGCAGTTACTGTTTTGCTGATTAAAAAAAAAAGAAGAAAAAAAAAGAGTCCTCTGAAGTCTGGCCATTTGAGGGTTTCCTTAGGTGGTAACTGAGACTAGGAGTTGGGTGGTTGGGGAGTCCCTGCTGCCTTTGCCACAGCAAGAGGCATTTGGTGTCTCTTAATTGAGTAATAAGGCAATAAATTCTTGAGTTGATTTGCTGGACTATATTGCATTTACACTGGATGATGAAGCCATTTAACAACTGGTGAGTTTACATTGCTGTGACACAAAGGGTTATGGTAAAATTTCTGTACAGTTACTTGTAAGTAACTGCATAATCAGTGGACTGAGGTACCCAGAAAGATCTAGGACTATAAAAATAATTTTAAATGAAGATGCAAATTAAATGTCCAGATTTTTGAAAGAGCGAGGTGGAAATACTTGAGATGATTGTTTCACAAGGCCTTTAGGATCTTCTGCTGTTTTACCATCGGTTGGTCATCCTGTTTAGCCAAGCAAAACAAATCACTAATCAAATCTAGCTTTGTATGAGTGTATCTTCAGTAATAAAGACTTTGCTTCTTGACTGCTGCTGAAGCAAGTCTGTGGTGTTTTGTAATAACTTTATAGAAACTGTTTAGAGCTGAATCTAGAAGAATTAAGGAATAATCTAATCAGACAGTTGACAAAAGATTCCAACAGACAATCCAGAATTTTCATATGAATAGAGAAAGGAGAGAGTCATGACTGTGCAATATAACATTAAAATCTGGTTTTTGACCTTTAAGCCAGGAACTTGTGTGGCAAGCCACTGTTGTTGTTATTACAAAAATGTCACTGCATGAAACACGGAAGAAGACAAAATCCCTACTGCAAGGAATTTACAATCTAAATAAAACACATGGATTAGTACGAGTATAGTACACCCATGCATGCAGCAGCTGAATTCTCAATTCTCTGTTTTTTATTTGGAGGAGGTTAGCACTTAAATATAGTGAGGAGGAAATAGGTCTTGGGAAAAGTCTTGATAGTGAGGTATAATGTGCTTGTGAGAGGAAGACTAAAAATCTCTTAACCATGGAAAAATGCTCAATTATGAGAGTGAGAGAGGTAAGCAAAAGGTCAGATGAATTTGGCAAGACCGTAAGGAGTCCTGCTGAGATCCAGCCATTGGTCACTATCTCCTGCGGGGTGCCCTTCCAGTCTCACTGGAGTCAGAAGGAATCACTGCATTGATTTTAACAGCTTTTGGGTCAGGCTCCTTTCCTGCAGATGGACTGGAGGATAGGAGAGACCCAGCTGTCTGAAAACAGGACTGTTGTGAGGTGTTTCAGGAGGTTAAGGACAGTCAGATTTGAGTTTTCAAAAAAGAGACCTACCTATATTTCCTCCAATTTCATGTAAACTTTGGATCTGGCCTCTCATTTTCTGTGATGATCCGTGGCTAGGATGGAAAAAAAAGATTCAGTTTGTCTTTCTGTTATAACCACTGTCTTATCAACCGCCATCTGTATTAAGCTAAAAATTGATATTTTTGCTCCTGTGAACTTACTTATCAAAAGCAAGGACTTCTACCAAACAGAGCACTGCAGAATACTGAGTCTGCTACAGAGGTAGATTATGTGTTGGTTAACTAAACCTTCTATTATATTATTTATTTAAAGAACAGAATTATGTGGTAACATGGGAAGGCTTTGCAGAAAAGACTTTCAGATACAATTTACCACTTCCCATAACTGTTAATAATCATTACCTTACAGAAATAAAAACATTAACATTTTATGGACAGATGTAAGACAACCGCTCTGGGTTCTCTGTGCAGCAAGTCTATAAAACATATGTTTTTAGTAGTGACATAACAGAGACCAGATTGATTTTGTATAGGAGCCAATTATTAAGTAAAATGTAAAGAATAAAATCAATGATTAAAATTTCTTTGACCAACGTAACCATAAATTAGCAATATTAGATTAGAAAAAGAGTTCTTGTAAGACAATGAGTCTTTGTAAAGGGAGCAATCTATTCATTAATGGTTCTGACATTATTGTTCAGGAAAAACAAAATGTTCTGATTTACCCACCTGTTTTCACAGTGGAATCGAGCCAGGATGTCTTTGGCTTTTGTTTGGCTGTTGAGTTGAATTGCCATAGAGACTTTTGAATGCAGTGGAGCATAAACTCTTATCACCCCCTCGGGTATGTCAGACTGCAGGTATGGGGGAAAAGTGACAGCTCCCTAAAATCAATATTCAGTAGAGTAAGTCTAAGGCAAATATTGTTCTAGTTCCATTCAGAAGCAGTTCTGCAACTCTTTTGAGGTTGCTTGCAAAAATCACTGGATTCACTTGATTATTCAAAGAACATATTTACGGTCATACAAATGCAAATTTGTCGATACAGTATAATGAGATACAACACAAAGACACAAACTCCTTGGTAAGTATCACATAAATGCACACAGAATAAAGTAAAGCCCTTGAATTTTAACTGCTTGCGGTAATATTGAGTCAAGTTGTTTTCTGAGATTTTTAAAATTATTTCTGTTGACATTGGTCAGTGAACCAACTGCTCATTTAAAAATACATAAAAATGATTAGTAATAGCTGCTTTTCCTTTTAAAGATGAAATTCTCCTGAGGCATGAAGATCCAATTCTCTGTTTCTGCTTCCTATAGCTTCAAGTAGATTGAAGCTTATGTACAGTAAAATATCAGAGTGCCATATGGTTTCTGTTAATTTGAAATTTGACCTTGCATAGGGTTCAAACGATCATCTATGAAGTTTATGCACTCTTCCATGATTAATGGCAGATAAATCAATTAGCAAGGTTTGCATTCCAGTTCTAATCCAGTTAATACCATGCTGAGTAGAGTACAATAGTCTCTCCAGTCTCTGTCCCTGTGTAATTTAGAACATCTGAGACCCGGGGATTGTGTTAAGTGCTCTCAAAATTCAACTCAGTTATCCAAACAGAGTTTGCCTCCAATTTACCCTTCATATTTCAGCTACCTGCCATGGCTAGTCTCATTTTTATTAGATGCAAAGCCAATTACTATGATCAATGAACTTGTCTTCCCAAAGGTGCAATGATTGCAGTAATTGACTCTCCTCAGATGCTCCCACTGTATTCGTTCCAGTAATCTACACAACCATTTTAAACAAACATCTATGTCTCCATCTGCAGCATAAATGTGTGTCTTACCCATAATATATTTCAGTCAATGTTGGCAAATGAATTCTCCAAAAAGCTAAACTAGCATGGATTCACAATTCATACAAATTTCTCTTTCTATTTTTTCCCAGATGTTCTCTTCTGCATTTTCTCTGTTGTCTGTATTAGATGGCTTATTCTCCATTTCTTATAATCTGTTAATATCACTCCTTCCTAATTTGTCTTTTCTTTTGTTCTTCAAGACTATTCAATAACTGTAGAGTCTTTGACCAGTTCCTTGATTACTACTCTTCCAATTCACCACCTCCATTCCTGTAAACCTCCATGGAAGACTCTGAAGATTTTCTCTCCAAGTTATCAAAGATAGTTACCACATGGAAATACTACATATAAGCTGCTATAGGGACTGTACATGTTGTGCATGTGTACACAACATGCTTTGTTGCCCAAATTATGTTACACCTAAAACGTAAGTTGATTTTAGGTGTCTATAGAAGTAGCATACCTCAAGTAAGTTCCTAAACTCCATATCCAGGCAGTGGAGAAAAGTTGGTGGCTTTAAGACCTCCAAAGGAGGGTTTTTGTATCAGACTTTCCTAAGTCTGAACTGCACCCTGACCTCTGGAAATCCTCAAAAGTATCCACCTCTCTCCTCTGACTAGATGGAGAATAACAATACAAACTACTTTGTTAGGCACTTAAAATTTAGATCCAGTTTTGGTATCTCTGTTAGGCAAACTGGATTTTCTCTCTGCTTAGGAAGTTAGTGCAAAGCTGTAAGACTAAAGCTTGCAAAGAGAATATTGAGTGGCCTGGACCAGGGCATGGGTAAGTGCAATTAATGCTAGTATGGACCATCCCACTACTCAGCTACAGATCCATGCATTTGTTGAACATCTACAGATCATTGCTGTCAAGGACAGTCCACATATGACCATTTTCTTATAAAATAGGTACAAACCCAGCATGTGTTTGTAACAGCTTATAGCTTGGGCTGCTAGAAATCATTCTGCCTTCCTCACCTTTTCTCAATCAATCCCCAAAGCATCTTACCAAGATGTCAGACTGGGAAGCACATCTTTCAAGATAGCTCCCAAATCAGCTTATTTTGTATGGCAAAATTTCCTCCCCACCCCCAGAAGCTTTTATGAGATAAGAAAACAGGGAGGCTGGTTAAAGCTGCCCTTGAAAGTGATATATTTTCATCACACCTCTGGTCTTTCAGGTCTCTCCCGTTCCATCGTCTTTCTCCTCAGAAGTTTTCTCACGCCTTTGTCAAACATCAGCTGCCTCTTGCTGTTGTTCATTGCTGCCTCGTTCATTTTTCTCACTTGGGCAATCAGGAAGGATGGGACCTAAAGGGAGGAAACCAGAGCTGGAAATATACAGTATTTTTTCCCCCCTGTAAAATTGGTGTTAGGGCTTTAGAAAGGCACCAAATTTAGCCAGCAGAAGATCTATTTATTCCCAAAAAATACATGCAATTAGTAGCTCCCTTGAACAACCCACAGTTATTCCTTCGGTGAAACTGTAGATCACCTTTCACACCATATGAAACTTTTCAGTGATGTTTGCAGTTGTAGGAACTTCATTAGGAGGTTATCTTTGCAATTCTCATCACACCACCCTCTGTTGAGGAAACGAGCTGACACTGTCATCATCTTCATGCTGACCTTCACAGTCCAGCAAGGACTATGGGCTAAAGTTTAAACAATCATTTAATCTCATTCCGGTCTAGATATCTCAACTAAGCATCTAGATTAAATCATTCTCCTGTATAATCAATGGTGGGGGATAGTTACCTCCAGAGGGCAATTCAAGCTAAAATGGATGTCCTAGATAGGTGAGATAAATCTCCATCCAGAGGTATCTGTCACCCTATCTCATTCTAGATAGAGAAGATTCCAGCCAGTTTCCAAAGGATAGCTAACTCTTCTTGGAAGGTCAGTTTATTCTGATTTCTACCGAGCTGCTGCATATAGCAAAATACTTCTCTATACTGGAGCCATAAAGAGGGAAGCAGTGTTACTCACTGTCCACAGGATGTCCTGGTACCGAATTAAAAGTCGCACAATGTGCGCTGTGGTGGCTGCTGCTTGCATTTCTTGTTGGTTTGCACGTTTCCCTTTGTAGATGAAGAGGTTTGGTGCAACAATCATAGAAACATTCCACAAATTCATTTTATTTTTCCCTTCATTAGCAACCACCTTCTTCAGGAACTGAAGAAAGGCCTGGAAAAACAAAACTTGTTATGCTGTCTCACAAAATAGTTTACTTCTTAAATGCAGCATTTTCAAATGCATAACATGTGTGGCTCAAAAGCTGCTATATTTGCACTTGGAGGTGAAATTTGGGGGGTTTTGCATTCTAATTTGAATCACTCTGATATTTGCTGGCACAACCACCTGTTTCAATCACAGAGGAATAGTTAATGTTATCAACATACACATTGATAAACTGTCTATCACTTAAAGCATAATCCCAAATCCATAAGTCAAGTACAGTGTCTGCACTAAGGTTCTGAATCCTGTAGTACAAGAAAGATATTAAAGTGTTGCGATGGAGTAGTTAATTTCTTCATAGATTTCAAGGTGTACATTTTGATATATTTGGCCAAGGCTTTTTATATTGCAATCACTAGGGTGATCAGCCTCTCTTCAAATGTGCACCAGTCCCATATATCATATTAGCTGAAGAATTTCTGCCAGCAACCTCCAAACTTTTATTCTGGGATAATGAAAGCAAGAAGCGCTCAGTGGTTGTTCGTTGACGTCACTTCTGCACATGCATGGCAGAGTCAAAGGAAACTCATTTCCCTTTTGGGCAGTTTATTCAGAATTTTGCTTGAGTGACTGAATAGGATGGATTGCAGCTGTGGTTAGAATTGGGGTCTGCCAATGAGTACTTTTGCAACACTATACCATTAAAACCACTGTCTTTGTACCCTGACATTGTAATTAAAACATTTTTACAAACCTAGGAATTACAAAACAGAAACTGTGTTGGAGAAATTTCTAAAATCTCATTATAGATAGCAAATAGAGATGCGTTCATTTTTTTCATCACTTCTATTTTCATATAAAAGCCTAGTAATAATTAAGACTACTCATCTAGCATGTGTTTTACATATACTGCTCTATATCAATATGGACTTTGGTAGAAGAAATAACCCCCATTCTTCAGAGAGCACTAGTAGACCTCCAAAGGCTTTAAAAGGGTTGTTATTCTAGTCCCTTGTTATTGTATAAATAAATACAGGTAAAGAAGGCACCTGGACTCATATAGCTGTATCTAAACTGTCCAGTGGGAGACTTTCAGAGGTGGGGGACCTGCATGGTCCTAGTGAGCAGAGGACCTGATGCAATATCTGGGAGTTCCTGGGCAGCTTGTTCACCTAGGTTTCCTTTATATGGAAACAAGTCCAAAGACGCAACCAGCATCTCTTAGGGTCAGGACAGTGGCAGCCAGATCTTGGGGCTCCCAAGCACCTAAAATGCTTGTAGCCACCGTGTCTGTATCAGGAAGGAGTACATGGGTGTGGGCATAGGTTTGTAAGGCAAACCAGCTGAGGCTGAGGTCCTGACATCCATCTGTGTTACAGATAGATGTTTCAGGGGTTTTTACTTTGGACTATCTCCTCCTGTCTGGTCCAGTGCCCTGGGAGCCCTTCAGCACCGGGAGTGCACTAGGCAAGCTCTCGTTTAACTTCATCCTGGAGAATTTCATTTATACAGAAACCCAGAAATTGAACATTTTTTTTCCAAACTATGTGAGGAACTTGTCCCTTTGAAATGGATGCTCCAGAATAAATGATGCATGGGAGCCATTTACTGACACCAGCAGCTGGACACCTCCAACAACTACTTCTTAATTGCTTGTGAAAGAAATAACAGCCAGAGAATTGGAACATCTTTTCAAGGAAATTATAAAAACCACAGATTAATACTTTCACGGTGCTGTGTCTGATCACTGACTGTTAGAAAAAAAAACAGATCTCTCATTTAAAAGTCAAAAGAACCACAGATGGCAGGTGATAGCAAACAAAGAACTTTTACCTTGGCTGTGTCTCTGTTGGCTTCAGGCAGCAGCATGATCAACAGGTGCAAAGCTTGCAGCTGTAACTTGATCTTGGAAATTTCTAAGAATATGAATAATTATTTTTTTAAAAATCCAGTTGCAATTGGTTTGTTCTAAAAAACTTGTTGGTCAGCAGTTCTAGAAACACAGCAACCACTGCCCAGTTGAGACTAGCATGTTTAGGTGTTGATTGACCATAACTCTACCCAAATATAAAATCAATTTAATGAGTGGGGTTTTCCTCATCTTGGGTCTTCGTCACAGAGGCAGACAAAGGTCTATAAAGTTCTGTCTAAATAGCAAGGAGCCAATATTTTTCCGTATTAGCCAGTTTCTCTTCAATATTACGGTCAGAATATGTTGTGAATATATTTCAAGTATTTTCCCCCTTTGAAACTGAATATTGCTTTCAGAAAATGTTTAGACTAATGTTATTGAGTAATTTTCTGAGTGCTTGTGCCATTGGAGTGCAGACTGATTGCTCGTAACTTAAAAAGTATTTATTTGTCCCAAATTTAGCACGCTATTTAAATGTAGAGCCCCTTGGCAGTTACAAAATAGCATCATGTTTTCAGCAATTGGTATATATTGATACTGTGCAAAGCTCACTAGAAGAGCTGGGGTGGAGAAAATGAGAAGAATAATTCGTCATTTGCTTCCACTCAGGGTGGGTGAGAGAGGTTTGCAGAAAAGAAGAGTGCCTGTTGTGGATGGTATATCTGTTGGAGGGAATAAAGTCACTTTATTCTGCACAGACACCTCCTGTTGAGTCTTCTGCTCTAAACTGCTAAGCGATCATAATTGCATGCAGTCTGGGACCCACAATGCTCAGGTACGTGAAGGTTACAGGAAGGAGTCACCTCCTTGTGCCCTTTAAACTACCTCATGGAGACACTGAAAACTTGGCTCCAACCTTATATAAAGGTTCTAAGTTTTCTGTACCGATTTGCCTGATAAAGTCACCATCCTGATAGTTTCACTCTGTCCTAGCTCAAGTGAATTTACAATGAAGTAATAGGCATTGCGAGGTATTACTGCATTCTTCCTGGAAGAGAAATGAACAAAATGTACTGAGAATGAGAGGGTGTATGTACACTGAAAATAAAACCCGACTGCCCGAAGCTTGCTGTGATCACATATATCTTTGTACGAATATTCTGACCTCAGCATAAAACTTTAGAGAAATAAAATAGATGCAATAGATAGCAGCTAAAGGGCAGTGACTTGAGTTTACCTTGCAGGAATTTTCATTTGTGAAATCTATAATTTGTGTGAATTAGAGTCCATATATAAAAGTCATTGCTCAGACATCGTTTGCTCTTGGGTTTCAAATCTCACATTAAACAGTGTCACTCACACGAGTCTCTACTATTAGCCAAATACAGAGACTTTTTTCCATTTGAAAAGAAAAGCTTGCAGAAAAATTAAATGTTCAGGCCAGGTACTCGGCCTTTTTTCCTCTTAACTTCAGCACTATTACATTTTATCTAGATCAGTTCATACTAACTCCTTTTCCACTTACTTTCTACTAGCGTGATGAAAGCAGGCAGATATTCTACTGTGAAAAGCGGACTTGGGAGTTCTCTTATAAACATTTTAAGCAGTCCTGCTGCATCGTTATTTCGTACTTGGTCCCAGTCAAAAGTGTCTTCACAAAATTTTGCCTCTAGTTCTTGATGGAGATTCTGAAAGACAAAAAGAATATCTGACCTTTAATTGTTCATTCTGACCCATCAGTCTGAGATCACTTCAGAAATCCTATTACAAACAACAGACAGGTTTACACCGTAGTTAAATTATAGTAGCCCTAAACCAGTAGCAGTCTAGGTACACCTGCATGGAGTTCAGAGCAGGTTAACAGACTTGATTCCTGTGGATATTTTGCAGCCCAGGCTAAATTTGGTTTGCCATAGCCAGTGACCCATTTTAAAACAAGACAATTTTGCGCAACGTCTTAGAACTAGAATCAGAAAATTCAGTTAGTTAAACAGGATTTTTAGCACAGCTGTTCTTTTTTGTTTAAAACACTCTCCAGAGGTTTTGACCCTTAAATCACAAAGTAGTGGCATTTCTTCCTTACTGCCAGTGAACTTGCTAAACAATCTGTTGGCATCTCAGTCCACGGGCCTTAAGCAAATAGTTTTAACTTCAGGTCTTCCTGTCTTTAGGATGTTTTCTGTTAGGATTACTATAATTAGATTTGATCACATCGCAGAAAAATAAAGGTACCAAACCATTACTGTCAGAAAACCTCCACTTAATACGTGCCAAAAACCCCCTCAAAAACCACAAGAGATACCTAAGACAGGATTGATTATACTATTCTGGGTGCCCATTCAATCCTCTTGTTCTCCAGTGTGAACATCTTGCTCTGTAACAGAGGTCTATTTAGTTCTGGAGGGTAACTAACTGATCAATGCTTCACATGTGTGTGAATGGGAAATATTCAGTAAGGTTCCTAGTAGGAACAGAATTTGGCTTCAAATCCAGATCACTGTTTGGAAAATGCAAGCTCCTCAAAAAGTTTTTGGTTAATAAGGTTTAAGGAGGCTATTGTAATGTAATTATATCCATGAATAATGCAGCTTTCACAATTATTACTGGACAAACATTGCCTTATCCATAGGAAGTTTGTCCTGCTTTTTGTGAGACCATTTATGACTAAATACATCTGTAACTAATATTCAGGTTTCAGATCATGTTTTTGTCAAATGAACTTTAGTATTACACAAAAAAAGTTCAGTCCATTCAGACAGAAAAGCTTTAAAAAATGAATTCTGTTTACCCTGTCTCACATGAATAGAAGGAAATTACATATCCAATATGGTCACACATAATGAAGTGAAATGGTTGGCACAAAAGGAAATAGAAAGTCATTCAGGATTTGGTATATAATGTTACAATCTCATTTTTACTAGCACATTTTACTGGTTGTAATCTGGGCTCTCTCGGCTTCCTCTGTATTCACATCCTTTACACATAATCCATACAAACACCTGGATTAAATTCTCTCCTGGTAACTGACTGGGAAATGTGGAACAGAAATCCTCACCTCATCAAAATCACAAGGAGAGAGAAAACTACTCCACATTTTTCTGCTGAGAACTGGGGAAAAGCCATAGAAATAGAAAGCAAGAGTTTTGAAACATACATTTTACACAGGCAACTATAAATGTATATATTTATACACTCAACCCCCATATACATATATATATGCACCTAAGTACTTTAAAAAACCATTTTTGCAAATTTCTTTTAAAACATGACTGATCCTATAGTAGACTATCATGCATTTTTGATTCACTGGAGCTTTTGTTACAAACCAGATTACAGACAGAGGAAAACTTGTATTTATTTTTTCTATTCTTTGTTTTATACAAGAGTAACCTTTAATCACTTCCATATGCCTTTTCTTTCTCCAAACAAGACAGAAATAAAATTGGAACGTCCTCAAATCCTAATGTCCTAATAATGTATGAAGGCTTTGAAGGATGAAATCTGGATCTGCTTTGAAAAAAATTTGTCTTTTCCTGGCTGGCTTGTTGGACAGACTTAAATGAAGCCAAAACTCAAATACTTTAAAACTTTCTTATGGGCAGTTTGACTTACCACCCAGTACAGGAGAGTTGCGTACAAAGTCATATCTCATGGCAGTTCCCTGGATACGGGTTGTGAATAAGAAGTGAACAAGACACAGTACAGGATATGCAAGGAATATGAAAGTAATTTAATTAGTTAGAGCACAGCCCCACTGTGTAATTTCCCCAGAGAGGCTGGAAAAAATTGAGATTGTGTGAAATAATACTTTAAGTATTTCTATGAAAAAATGAGGAAGCTGCAAAGTACAGTCCAAATTAGGACCTCCCTTCTGCAAGATGTGGCACTTTGCAAGGTGCTGAGTGCTTTTATCAATCCACAAAGGGATCTGGGATGCTACTGCCTATCTTGGATGCATTTTATGTAATGCCGCTTTTTCTTGTACAGTTATTTTTATGATCCCCAGCCCATCAACTTTTAGCAATATTTCCAACATTACTCTTTGTGTGGCTGCCACGATGTTGAGACTTCCTGCCTCAGAAAGCAAGACAAGCTTTCTCGAAGATGAGAAAGTGGGAGTGGGATGTACTATAAGAAGTTGTTTAAACCAGATTAAAAAAAAAAAAACCACCCCCCCAAAAAAAAAAAAATAAATCCAAACACCTGGGGAAAAAAAAAAAAAAAACACCAAAAAAAACCTGGGAAAGAGGTAGACACTGCTAAATCTAGAAAAAACTTATTTTTGTAATTTGCCTCTGTCAAAGCCTTTTAGCTCCTGGAATCAAGTTAGTCTGGAGAAACAATTGGAAGCATTACTGCACCACAATGTCAGGTTATTGGGTACCAACTATCTTGTGTTCATAGCCTGCAAATAGCCTGTGAAAATGCAGTACTTGAGGCTGCCAAACAGTGAATGCAGGCCAAATTTCTCTCACTTGGAACATGAAATTGTAAGATCACAGAAGATAAATGAGAACTAAAATGGCACAAAGGTTAAAATAACATAGAACAAGATCTTCATCTGAAGTTCACTCAGTTTAGCAACTCCGGATTTCTGAAATAAATTAAAACAGAGATAAGATCACAGCAATTTTAGGGGACAGAGATAAACTGAAAGCATCCCTCAAATTTTAGTGGAGAAAAACTGCATTCAACATCAAGTCTGTGCTTTATATAGAACATTAACAAATGCAAAGCAATAGACCACATGTTCTGTGATTTATTGGTTCCCAGGAACCAATCTGACCTTTCACTGGTAGGAATAGAAATGCTGATCTACACACATTAGTATTTATGTGCAGTGTGCATTTGTGTGTGCTGTATTATTTTACATAGGGTCTGTGGTCCAGGAGACAGAAAACTGGCATGGGCACGTACCTTGACTCTGGAGGCAGATCCAGGCACTCGTAGAATTCCTTCGGTTTCCAAACCTGTTTCCTCAAGCTTGAGCAGCAACTGAAAAAAACCCCAACAAAACCCAGGAAAATACTCAGAAGCACTTAAAAATACCATTAACTTTTTTACACTCTAGATATCCTTGAAATTAATTTGAAAAAGATGCATTTCTATATAATATGCTAATGAAAACAAGCCAGCTTATATACACAAACCTTCCTAATTTGTTCTCCATATTCCTGACCCTGAAATAGAGGGTACGGAAAACTGATAATGCAATAGGCTCCTCTGTCCTTGATTTGAGACTTAGCACTAGTATAGAATAATTAACACATAAACGTATTAATAAAAGGGCAGATACACTGGGTAAAACACAATGGTGTTTTGAGGGAAAATTAACCTCTGAGAAATGTTTAAATCTTTCCCCGAGGAGCACAATGGAAAAGTCTATAGATAACATACATTTCTGGGACCTGAGAACTCAGATTAGAAAATGATCCCAGGATATTTGAAATTTCTGTGGATAGAGGAATAGGCTTTCCACTCTAATTCTTTATTAAAAAATGAATATGTTTTGGTTCAACATAATTTAGAACAAGGGGAAAAAATAAAATAATTTCCTAGCATTTATTCATACAGCTCTGGAATTTCACCACCAGCTCTGCATCCTGCCATAGCTGTTGGATCCTTCTAATTTCCCATGGTATCTTGACAGCAGAGCTGTGGACCTGATTGCAAAGTGATGTGAATATTCAAGTCATGTCAGTCTTTCCCCACTTCACACCACTTCCCCTTTTGTCAGTATTTACAGGGAAATTTGTTATAGTTTTGAGTCCGTATAAACCTGTATAATTGCATGTGTGCTTGTGTCTGTGTACCTGTCTCTAAGACATCTGCTGGTTGTCATTGTACTGTCAAACAAATTATATAAAAGATATTTTCTTGTCATACAAACCTCAATGAGGAGATACCACTTCCATTCTGGAAATAATAGCTAAGTAATACCTATGGTTTGAATTCAAGTGAAATTAAAACTCCTGAGACAGCTCATCTCTGCCACTTCTGCACACAATTTTGTGTGCTCTAATTTAATGAGAAAGGGAAACAGAAACCCAGACATTTGTTTCCCAAAGTTTTCTGTATAGTACTATATAATTACGAAAATGGACAGAGGTCCCCACCTCTGATAAAACACACAAAAGGAGCAAATTTTATCTCCTTGTCACAAGGTTTTCAAACCACAACATACAGACAGACAACCTGTAGACACCTTCAAGTCTGTAAAGCCTACCTCTTCTTTTATCTGATGTCTGCTTTGAGTGTCAAAGCAAATGATGGAAATGTGAATCTTAGTGGCCGAGCAGGCTGAGTTGTACTCACTTTTTGGAAGATGAGGGGTACTTTTATTCCAGGAACCTTCTTTTGATCATTCTCCAGCAGTATGGTGAGAGGGACTCCAAACAAACCATTTTCTTAAAAATAATAACAACAAATGTGAAAAAGAGGAAACACAGCCTTGTATGCGTCTTCTTCACAATGCTGAGCGGCGCCCAGGTGGCTGCCATGGGGATGCCACAGCACGGTACCTCGTCCTCGCACTCTTTCCACGCGGTTCCTCTTCAGCTCCACCCCCAGTGCGTCATAGAAGGCCGTTAGCTCAATCAGGGAGAGGTAGCGGATCTTCTTCATGTCTTCAGGAGACAGGTCTCCAACCTCTGTGAGTCCAAAACGGCTTTTCCGAACAATGAATTTCTACAGTAGAGATGGGTCGCATCTTTATTTGCACAAAAATTACAGGATGTGAATTTTTGTTTTGAAAGAGATGCCTGTATTGTGATAGGAAGTCATATTAGGGTAGATGGATAACACTAAAGAGCTGAACTACAACTCTATATATTGGCCTGGTATGTTGACATAATTTGCATCCATCTGAAACATAAAATTGAGCTACTTGATTATCAGGTTCCCTTGCTGTTTGAGTGGTGAGCAGTGGTGGAACAGAGGTGCCAACCCCAGTGCCTGTACTCCAGCTGGGACAAATGAGCTACATGCTTTTGCCTGATTTCAGGAGAATATAACATTTTGCTCTGCTTCTGCCTCCCCTAGAGTGTCTTTGAATGCTGTTGAAGTAGCTGACACATTTCATCATGGATACGGTTGTATATCAATTGTGTGTGTGTGTGTGTGTGTAATGAATCCATGCCTGCTTTGCATACTACTATTAACTTATGAGATCTTTTTGGAGAGTTTATACTAGACCTGAGGAAAAGCCCAGAAGCAAAATCACTTAGTCCTGATGCCAACCTGCCAATTTACTGGTAGTTTTTATTACTCAAGAAGGATTTAGGCTTGGAAACAGTACTCCCAGCAGCTAAGAAATAATTTATTCAAGTAGGCTTGAACTAAATGATACTTAGCAATTTGAGGGCATGTGAAGATGTCTACATATTTTAGAAACTGCAGTGTCACGGACCAGAGCCAGGAATGTTGTGTCATGACAGAAACATTTGTACAAATGTCAAAAGGAACAAATATCCATCAGTTTTTGACATAGTGGTTAGACACAATAACAAAGCTATAGTAAAAAACATGCTTTTCAAAGAACTGTGGATCTTTGGTATTGTATGTTGTTTTAATTTTATTGTAATTTAAACCAGTAATTGTTACTCAGAGGTATAAAGAAATAGCATTACAAATCATCTCCTCCCTTTAATAATGTTTTGCTTCTGGAGATTTCAGCCCAGTCCTCCCTTTTTTAAACAAATTTGGACCCAGTAGGTTTAACCCATCTTTAGATGAAGCCTGTCAAACAGATTAATAAAAAAAGCGATCAAAAAAAGAATTAAACTTACACGAGATTTCAAAAGTAAGAGAGGATAGAGGACACCTAGATCATGTAGGTTAGGACTTCCTAAATCACATTGCACACGGTCTTTCAACAGGAGTTGATCATAATTGGGCAAGAAAGAGTGCAGGAGATGGAATAACTAATTTACATGCTGTCTGGGGCATTTTAGGTTAGAATCTTCCATCCCTAGAAGGCCGCAATTCCACTGTTACTCTTATGCCAAGACTTAATAGCATAACAAAAACTACATGGAAAATAGTCTTCCGAAAACACATGAAATGCTAAAGAATATCTATGCGTTTTGGCTCCAGTGATGCAAAAAGTCCAAACGCAGTCAAAAGACAATGAATCATCTCGAAAATAAGAAACAATCACACAGTACACATAGATTTTCTGAGGGGAAAGAGAAGTATGTTTGCCAAGAAAAAATGACAAAAACTCCAAAACCAATTACAAAAGGTAGCTACAATGGTATTCCGTGGTGGCTGGTTGACTCCTAGGGTCACTGTGATGTGATGCAGTCTTAACACAAGCTTTGGGGCTGAGACTCTTTCTTTTGTCTTATGTCACAATTTTCCAGTGAATTTTTCCAGTGATTTTTCAGTGGAGTCACAATATGCAGCACTGAAGGAGGCTGTGCTATCCTGAAGTAAGATTACTAGCATTTTGGCTGAGGATCATGTCTGATAATGTGTGACATGTTGTTTCTGTGTGGAACTATACAGTGCACTAAGATGGGCCTGAAATGCCTACTGACTGTTAGTTCTGTAATATCTTCAACGAAGTCACATTGATCATGGTCCCAACGTTGGGGAAATTGCATGTAACCCTATGCAGACAGTGATGTTGAGTTGGCTCTTCTGGGAGTTGTAGGGGACATGCTATTTTATGATATATAATCTCTCTCTGTGCAGCTCAGTATATGCCACCCATGAAGTTGGTTATGCTAATTTGTCAGACCCGCCCTGGAGAAAGTATGATGTTGTGTAGACTTCAGTCTGGCCCTGCTGGCCCATCCTGAGGAAGGAGGGACAGTCTGTCAGAGTGCAAGTGACTGGTTGCTCTGTTACACAGAGCAAGAGGTGATATTTTTTTTTGCTGGGGCCCATTACAGTCTGAGCCATTATGGGAAAAAGCAAATACCATGACTGGCAGCGTATGAATTAAGAGAAATGCCAACATCAACAGCTACGATTGTTGACTTTATTCAGAAAATCTCTGTTTGTGATGAGCTGGCGTCTCTCTTGTGTACTCTTCCAAGCACACAAAATTATGTCCTCCATGCAGAATAGTTCATCTCCAGCACAATACTGGCCTTTTCTAATACTAATCAATTATGCATCCACAGGTCCATGATATTCAATGTGGCATCTTCTCTTTCCTGTTTGTCACCAGATTCCTTGCTATACCAACTGGAAATTGAGCTGTTGCAGAGAACAATTTGTGTGTGTGTGTTATAGTCAAGGCTGAGGTCCTAGGTTTGCTGTTACAAGGAGCAAGGATGAACCTTTGGTTTGCCAAAATCATCATGAATGCAGAGGTATCCTTACTCTCCACAGGACACCAGGTTATCCCCACCACAAAAAACCCCCAAAAACAACAAAAAAAAAAATCCAAACAAAAAAACCCCAAACCCAAAAAACCCAAAAACCAGACACACTAAAGCACAGGGATTTCACACCAGTTGTAATCTGCTTGGTGCCTTATCCCTCCTTTCAACAAGGAAGCTTACTTCTGCATCTCAGGTTCTTCTTCCTTGGTGGTGCCTGAGATGGACAAATGGGTAATTCTCAGAGAATTCAATGTCTGTGTGGATAGCAACAATTTCACATTAGTTCAGGATCTCAGGACATCATAACATTCAGGAAATGCTTCCAAATAATTTACAGCTATTTCGTATTTCCAGTTTTCAGTAATGGAAGTTGTGAGGGCTGATGGAAATAGAAAACTGACTTTCTTGACTTCAAGAAATAATTCCACATAATGACACAACTGCTTAGTGTATGTCTGGTTGGATGATATAATAAACTTTCCTTTAACCATTCATGTAGTATCTCCTATAGCGTAATTGCACTGAATACTGATTGGAGACAGTCAGTACTGCTGCAGAACTAAGGTTTGCTTTCCCTCCTTTATCCGTGAAGGAATTTTGAATCCATGTGTTAACAAAGGCAGATAATCTGTAGGGGAATAAAGTAGGAAAGCAGACCGGTAGCAAAAATGATTGCCAGTTTTAGTGCCAGTAACTGGTCTTTATTTCTAATTGAAAAATGTGTGGATGATGCAATATTTGTGGATTTAGTTACATCTGTGATGGGTACAAGTAAAAACCAGGCTTGGATATCCAGTTCAGCTTTGGTGCCTCTCTGGGAATCAGTCACAAGTGTAGGCAGGCACAGTGGGCGGTCTCTATAAAGCACACACAGCAAAGGACAGCTGATGTATCTTAACAGACTCCAATGTGCTGAGGATATAAAACAGGAAATCACTGGGTTAAAGAAAACCATGAGGAAATATGTCGAGAACAAACTTACAGGCAAAGCAGAGTCTTCCTTTTTGAACCTCTGGTTTTTTGGCCATTCTTGGGTTTTTGGAAGGACTGTAATGGATTCTGAGAAAGAGACCTCATAGGAGAGCTCTTCTGTTACGGATGGGCTGCCTTTATCTAGTCCGCAGTCTAGACAGCTATTAGCTGAAAATAATGGAAACTATATATGAATGCTGAATGTATGCTTGCAATTACTACAAAGACATCAAAAAATTGAACCAAGATGACAAAAATCTTGAGAAAGTTTGAAAGGAAGTGCTTCAAAGAGGAATTTCACTGTAAACCACAGCATGTTCCTGTTTTGTCTGGAGGAAACAACTCCTTAGAAATAAAATCCCTATTTTCATTTTAGATTATTTAACTTGTTGCTTTTCGTGAGAAAGACAGTCAAGTTGGAACTTCCTGTTTATCAGGAATTATCAAGTTTTTGTACTCTGTCCTTGTCTACCCAGGCCAGCAAACTGTGGTGGCACTTGTCTAATGAACAATTAAAAATAAAAGTTCCTGACAGAAAAATGCTGTTGACACAGTTTCTCAGGTCATTGTTGACCTATGTACAATCATAAGACATTGTGCATATATTTTATATGCTCACATACATATATTTCTCGCAGTTGCTAGTTTAGGTGTGTAGCACCAAAACAGGACACAATGTACACATTTCCATTTTGAAAAACACTATATTTACTGGAATTTCTGGTAGATATTGTGAAATGACTTATTATTCTACTCTAAAATTTAGTAGTCTACTGACACTAGTGGATGCCAGAGGAAAATTTTTTAAATCAGTGCAATCAAGTACAGAAATACCCTATTGTCATGAAGTCCAAAGTGTGATAACATGCATGAGTTCCAGTGTTGCCAACTTTCATGACTGATCTCTCACATTGCAGGACAATTTTTAGGTTTCCCTTAAGATCCAGCTCCTAGACTCATGCAATTGGAACAGAATCATAATTTTCATTAGAAGCAAAGTAAAATTTCAGCCCCCAGGACTGCAGAGAAGAGTTTATGAACATGACCCAAGTGCATTCAAAAGCCATGGAAACCAGAAAGTGAATTAACAAACATTACATGTTTTATAAACATATGCATGCCCCATGATTTTTGTATCATTGCATTTACAGATACAGAGAGTTAAACATTTTTTACAGCACCCTTTGTTTTGCAAGTCTGGGATGAAAAAGCTAAGTGTGTTATTAAATGGCTTCTGAACTGTGGCCCTAGATTTTACTTAATGGCCAAGCTGTTTTAAGATGTTTTCCATCTCTCTTGCCATCCTTGGACCTGGGACCACAGGCCATCCACAGTGTTCCTTGTAATTTGGTTCCCCATCTCTTCTAGTACAACTGCTTGCGGAGCAGAGGTATCAGCAGAGCAGCAAAATGAACAGTTTTTGCAACCAAGGAAAATGTCTGTGGCACTATATCCAGAGATAAACATCTAAGACACCAGTTTTGAAACTCAGGTATTGATATGCTTTTAGTTAAGCCCTGAACAATGGTGATGGGAAGATCTTTCAAAATAAAAGATAGACATTCCTGTGGAAGGCTGCTGACAGTTACCCAGACACTAAGTAGAGCAGAGCTATCATTTTCATTAGCTCTGCCAGTCACTGTCAGGGCAAAGTGCTTAAAGGATGTCCAAAATAATACCATTAGTAGATCAGAATAATAGGGCAGAACCAGAAAAAATGATAAATTTCTAATACTACAGTTTCTGCAGTACTGGAGAAGAAATGTTGAGGAAATATGCATCTCTCTTGTCATGATTTGCAACAAGAAAATACACTGCTGACATATTTTGGACAAATTCTGCACCTCTGTTTAGAGGTTATTTTTACATTCCCAACCTTGCAACGATCAGTACTTTTTAGACACCGATGCCTCAAGGGCAGCAGTCTGTGTCTGTACAACACCGGTCTTGAATGGGAAACTTTGGTTCCTGCATGACAATAAGCTGACAATGATTTTAATATATATATGCAGTACAGCCCCGACACAGAAGAGGGAACTAACCTCAGAACCACAAAATGATCTTTCTGTCTATCATTTTTCTAGGAGGAAGGGAACACTGGTTACACATTGGCATACTCACAGCTAACTGATTTCCAAACTGGCTTCTGCCCAGGAAGCTGGATGCCATTAGAAGGAACTGGTGACACTGGAACTGTCTCAAATGTGGGCTGATAGGCAAGGAAAAATGATCAGACTGCAGTGAAAGTAAACGTCTATGGACAGAAACTGCTACAGTTCAAGCAACAGCGAATCATTCTCAGCTTACACTCTTTTGCCAAGTTTAAACAACCTGTTGTGATTTGCCAGAATACGTTTTTCATAGCCAAGCCCAAGAATTACTCTTCCCCAGGCTGCACAGATTTGGATCATGTTGAGGTCAGTAACATTGCAGCTTGCTGTAGCTAATGAGTCCTGTCTTATATAATGACTGAAATTAACTAAGTAAATTGCTGTCCATAATTGTACTAAGCGAAAGGTCCTCGTCAAATTGTAATCCATCCTGCTTTTAATCATTTTGGCCTCAAATCTTTTTGAAGACTCTCTGACACATGTCAAGCATTCACTGCTCCCAAGCACCTGTCAGAAACCAGGCTGTTCACTGCCTTTCGGGATTTGGGCACCAGCAAATTATTAATGGATGGATGCCCTCCCACTATACTAACACTTTATCAGTGAATTGCAAAAACAGTTTTAGGGAAAAAAGACCTCTTCTATAGTAAAATTCATTTATTTCTGCTCCAGAAATCATTCTGCACTGTGTGAAAATGGGGGAAGCATGTGTGGCATAGCAGAGAAGGGACTCTGAAGCCCAGGGAGTGACTTTCAAGTACTGTCACATCTTCTTGGCAGTGGAGTGGCTCTTGCTCTCAGCCATTTTGGGTCTCATTATAAAGATAAACTTGAGAGTTTGTGTGTACATGGGGCAGTAGCAGCTCACCTGCATGTTCTTGGGTTAAAAAAAAAAAAAATTGTTGAAAAAAAAAAAAAAAAAAAAAAGGTCAGGAAGTCAGGAATTTAAAAAATGGTCTGAAGGGTACTCAGTAAAAATAACTACAATGCCCCAAACCAGTCTTGTATGTTTTCTGCTGTCCTTTGCATCCCAGTGGGAGCCCCCTCCTTTCTCAAACCTACTGCCTCACCCCCCTGAGCCTGATAGAGCAGCCCCAGCTTTCCAGTTGAACCTGCAGCTGAAGGCCCCAATGAGCCCACATTAGCCGCTCTTTAAATTGCTCTTCACATTGCTAAACCGGCTGGTTATCGACAAGCAGCAATGCCTCAGGGCAGAAATTTTGTCTTCCCCATTTGTAGCCAATGCACAGGAGCAGCATTCAGGCTGCTAAAAAATGCCAGATATTTAAGAGACAGGCAGCTCTTCCAATTGGAAGCCTGAAATAATGTTGCAGTTGTTTGAGTCATTCTTATCCTCTGAGCTGTATGGGTAACAAAGTCAAATGTAACATGAATAAAATCTCTCCTGAGAGAGTCCATTCAATGGCCCGCAAACTTGATAGCAAACAGGATTTGAATCACATGGACTTCCTTTGCCAGAAGACAGTAAGGATCATTGATTTTTTTTAAAAAGGAGAACTGTAGAATGCTTTTATGATAAAATCCCATAACATTCACACAAAAGGTTTTAGGGCATAAAAAACTGATATAAATTTCAGGTGGGCGTATGGAAGCGGAGGGGATAGTTAAACTCGCCTCAACAATTTGGGAAAATCAAACATAAAAGCAGCTGTTCTGCTGCTTAAGATCCAGATGGAGAAATTAATGGTAAACATTAGCAACTGGCTCATCTACTTTCAATGCTCAAAATGTCTGACCCTCTGAATGGTATTCAGAATAGATTTACAGTGAAGCAAATTTATTAAGGAAAAAAATAAAATCCTTCCAGCCTTGTTACACAGGTGAAATCTATAGTGCAGCAGCTGCAGCAACCAGGTTTGGTGAAGTAGGGTGGAGCTGGAGGAGGGGAGCTGACAGCACAACTCTGCCTCACACCCAGCAGCGCTTGCAACAGCCTGCAGGCTGCTCTAGTTTGTGGCAATTGAATATTGTGGATCATGTACAATATCAGGGCTAGCTAGAAACATTGTATTTTAGGTCTCATTTCCCAGCATCCACAGGGAGAGTGTATGAAGAAGCCAAATCTATGTCTCGCTTGTGAAAATGTCTTCCAAACAGGATCAGTGCCCCCTGCCCCCGGTTTTTTTTAATCTTAGGATAATATCATGCAAAGAAAGGGTAGACTGGGAATAAAACCTTTTTAATGCATGCATTTTAAAGATCCAGATTGTTTCTTTAGTAAAAAAGATTAAAAAATCTTTGGAAGCTCATGTCTTGATGAATGTGAAAGGCCAAGAGTCAAACTGTATCCTTAACTAAATTGGGACAGCTTTATTCATTTGGCTGGAGCTCCAGCAATGGCAAGACTTCTCATATCCTGATTTCTGACTGAAAGTGATTCATTACACAGTTCTCATTATCTGATACTAAAAATGAGCCCAGTGTTTTCTGGCACAATGTACGCAGGAATTTCCAATGGGAAGAAAAAACCAGAAGAGCAATGATAAGATGGAGATGAGGTAGATAGTCCTTTAGTAGCTACCTACATTGTAGAAGATGTAAAACCAAATCATTGGAGCACCAAAGCAACCAAATTCTATCATCAACCCTACAGCTAAGGGAAATAAAGGCAAAGGAGGATAGTCTTATAGCTCTGGTCAGGCTACAAGTTGCACATGCTTTGGATATATTCATATTTCTGAGCACTGTCATCACAAATGCCTTTTCATGCAAATAGTTCTGGGTTAGTTAGTAATTCTTCTTTAATTAGGATATGTTTTTTTCATGCATTGCTCAAGTAAAATGCTCCTAAATTCTTGAGGAGTTTTAGCTGATCGCAATGTACAAGGTTGGGCTGTTAATGAGCACGATGCTTCATTTCCTCCCTCCAATAATAAAATCAATGCTTCTCCCCCATTTTTATTCTGCTGTTGATTTTTCTAGGCTGGAGCACTAGCAGAGCCGATAGCTTCTGATGGAAGCAGCAGGGTACCAGCAGTAAGGAAAATCAGGCCACTGTGATTAATAAACCATCCAATTTAAATCTTTGCAGTGTGGCTTTCAGTTGAGTCTGCTGCGTGTTGGCCTGTCTGAAGCAGAGCAGAGGCACCTTAGCTGGGGCAGGGTGCTCCACTGAGGCGTCACTCTCGGTGGGGCAAGGTACAAGGTATAGCAGGTGCTGCATTTTACCTCCCATGAGCACGGCACCTTTCCAGGGTGGGCAACAGAAAAAAACAACCACCCAACACCAAACAAAACAAAACAAAAAAGGAAATATGGTTTCTTTTCAGTCCACTTGGGCTGTTGAGGGAACACTCCTGCCCTGAGGGAATGGACCTCAAGGTGGGATGAGGGATGTTGACTCACACAGAGGCTGGCCACCAGGCAGTAACAGCAAAACACTCACACAGAGGCAGGTTTTTTCACAACAGAGAAAAGAAATGAGGGCAAATCTCTCTCTTCCCTCCCTCCCAGATGACAACTACTTATGTCTCTTTAGTGGTCCCCTAAATCTCATCTCAGGTGACCCTAGTTAGCTAATCACTTTTTCCTCTCATCATTAGCCACAGAAAAGAATAATCCATCCTGTGATCTAACCCTCTAGGCTCCTGCAATGCTTAGGTTGTTGGGAAAAGGGTATAAATCTGTCCTCCTAATAGGGAGGATTATAGAGTTACATGAAGCAATTAGAGCTATTTTGCTATTTGCAGTGTTTACTTCTTCCCTTCCCAACTGAAAAGCAGGATGAGAAAGCAAAACTCCTGCACGTCATTTCAAGCAGTCTTTTTACGCGCCTGTCTTCAGCAGCTGTGCTGAAAATATTTGCTCCTCCCTGTCCACTGTTGCTCTTCTTTTTTGGCTAGATTGTTTTCAGTCCAGATCACTTTCCCAAACTGATTCATCATAAAGATTCACTGACAGCTGTAGTGTCATGCCTAAAGTTGCAGCAGAGCACGAGGGGCAGCTTCAGCTGACAACCCCTTACAAAGGACTGCTCAGAAACAACTCCCCCCACAATGTGTCTGTCCCTGAGAAGCTGATAATTAGGATGGACTTTCTAAATCCCATAATAAGCAGCAGAGATAAGAGCTATGGTCAGTGGGAATGCCCAAAGAGTGGTGGGAACCTTGCAGGCTTTTAGAAATACAATCTGCTTCACAGATCTGTTTCCATTGGAGGGAGGTGATGGTGTGCTCTGGAGCTGTATTTGTGTATCTGTGTTTAATGTTTAGGTAAGCAACTTGCAGAACTGCATATTTTTGTGGGAAGAAGAATTAGAAGTCTTAATTACTTTGTCAGTCTTATCTTTCAGACTTTCACAATGCAGAACTAGTAAGTGAGCCGAATTTCAGAGGAGGTAAACCAGTGATTTGAAGGGCAACGGCTCTGAACCTCCTGATTCCTTTAGCAAGTGAGAAACAGAGGTGAAAAATAAGCAGATCAAAGCCACATCAATAATGTGCCCATCTGAGAGAATGGGTATAACATTTATTTGGCTGATTGAAATTCATTAGGAAACTTAAGCTTTATTATAATTTAAAAAATTTTTAGACACTTTAAGGTTTAGATGCTTGAATCAGGAGAAGTGTGCTAATCTAATAAGTGCCATCAGCTTTTTAATGTTCATGCAAACATGCCTGATGATTTCTCATGCAAGAAAGTCTGCCCACAGGAAACTGCTGGATGCTTCCACATATATTTGTGGGATATGTGCAAGAGGTTCAAAAAAGCCCAGATACTTAAATTGGAGACAAATAAGTTAACTTCTCAACAATTATATCTTTGTAATTTTAATATAACTACGCAGCTACAATTTCATTTCCCAATTTTTTTGTTATAAATTCATCCAGGATGCCAAGCCTTGAGGAGAAGGTAGGACAAATAGAAAAGGACAAAGGAATTTCATGATGAAAAAATGTTTCTTGGCATTTTGTAATGGCAAGAACTTTAATATTAATTTCAAAGGTGAGCTTGTGAGCTTATTGGCAACTCCCATTTAAGATATCATGAGCGACATATGTAAAGTCATACGTGTTGCTTTGAGCATTGGACTAAACTCACACAGTTGACTGCATTCACCAAAATAAAAACGTGAGCATTTAGAGCTATCCTCAGGGAAAAGTGGATGAAACCACCAGAGGCAATACTCATTTCTGAAGCCATGAAGCAAATGAACAGTTAATAGATTTTCATTTGCTACGTAAGTGAAATGTAACTGCCAGTGTACCAGTTGCAATCATGCCGGCAGGTGTTTAATTGCTTATGCATATTTGAACCCCAGTTGCTTCATTACAGAAGTTTTACTTCACCACTGAGACTGCTGAGTAAATCGTAAGTGTCCCTAGAAGCCAGCAAAAATTTGAATAGCTGCCAAGAGTAACTCACCAATTTCCAAAAAAGAAGAGAGTAAATGTTAGTCTTGATAGGAGATTGCAGGAGGAAGGCTGGCAACAGATACAACATTATGTCACAGGTTAGCTGCAAAACTGTGCACCATCTATTTTATTTGGTTTCTTCCTTTCCTCTCAAAATGTAGCAAATACAGCATTTAAAGTCTGGACTTAGTGTCAGGTACTGCTACTGTCTGTCTATACATTGTCAGCAGAAAAGGGTTCCTATCTGGTAGAAGCTTTGGTGAGCTGCTTGCAAAATGCCTAAAAATTAAGCTCAAAAGCATTCGGTAGGATGCATTAGCTACTTACAGAAGAGTCACTGGTGCCAAAGATGTCTCGCACATCCCGGACTGTGTGCTTGTTCTTCTTCCTCAGGGTCTGAGTGTAGGTGTTATACCTCTTCTGTACGGCAGCAGCTTGAGTTCGGGTCAGAGTGGACAGCAGGGCTTGGCCGTCCTCCTCTTCAGCTCCAGAGATCAACGTAGATAAACCTACGTCTTGCAGCCATTCTGCCTCCAGCTCCCCTTCTGCAGAGGAAGAGAGCATGTTACCAGGCCTGGCAGGGAGGGAGAGGGGGTTGAAGGAAGGGAGGTGGCATGGTGGATTACTGCCTTAGCCTTTACCTCAAGAAGACTCCACTTCCAATCTTTCTTAGGCCACAAGTTTAGGTTAAGTTAGTTTTGTCAACACACTGTCAATTTTCAGTTTGCCAGTCTCTGCACAGGAGAGGCTCAGGAGAAGAACAGAAGAGGCATTTTTAACCTGGACATTAACACACTCAGGTGAAGAAGGCAGTAGAGGGCCTAGCTTGACACAGCAAGGTCGCTAAATCTAATGCATCATTCAAGTGCATAAATCCCTTCAGTTGCCATTTATACCATGGTGTACCAGATGAAGCCATTTGTCAGGTGGAAATTAAATTGGTGTTCCAATTAAAATAAGCAACAATACCAAACTGTTGAATACAATAGAACAATGTGTTTGCACACTAAAGATGAGATTTAAGATACTAGTCAGCTAGCAATCAGACACCTAGTGACAATGCCACACTGAGAGAAGGGTGATGTCCGCCTAGTCCAATAGTTTGTTTTGAACAAGATCAGTAAGAGCCAGAGCTGTTCACTAAAGAGCAAGGGTCAGGTAGAATTAGGTGTCAAAAGGCCAGGTAGAGGTGGAAGATGCAGAAATAGCTATCCTTGCATGTTAGGTATCATCCTGATTTCTAATAATTAAAGACTGGCTAGTACTCTACACCCCAGCATTTCTTGATATCTTGATTAGTAACTAATATCTTCTTGAATCCTGTTCAATACTTGTTTCTAACTGGTTCAACACTGCAACTAGTTCCATAGTGAGATTATGCACTGTGTGATAAAGTATTTTCTTTCCTGGTTGTATTAGGCGTGAGGAAAGCTTCTGCTATCTTCTCACAGAGCCACTTCTGCAGCTCTACATCCCCCTGCCCAAAACCTTGACATGCAAAGCCAGTACAGGGTTTCAGCTTGCTACCTGTTACATTAAATCAATATTCCCTGTCACTGTAGGACAGGGAGAAGCTCCCAATCTACCTTCTCTAAATAATTTAGTAATTTTAAATCTTTCTGTCATTGCCGTTTTTGCTTGTCTGCTTTTTAAAGTAAACAGTCATAGTCTTTTAAAATCTCTCTTCACAAAGGAGATTTTGAGGTCCTTCATTTTAGTTCTGAGAACAATCCTAGCTCAGCAATACACTGCTTGAGACAAGACAATAATTGCATTCCAGCTTTGTCTGAAGAAGAGGTATTACAAATAAACATGTCGAACAGGAAATGGATTAATTTGCAGCATGTTCTATGAAACAACTAGTAATGCACTTATTCTTCCTGTCCCAGCAGTTGTCTTAATGGTAGGTTGGTATGTCCACTATGCCTTTATTGCCTCTTCTTGACAGCACCAGAATGCAGGCAGATTAATAGATACCAGTTTGCTGCACTTTGGCAGTTAGATAGACAAAAAAGAAAATTACAGGGCTGGATTGTGTGGACAAGTGAAAACATCTTACACATGTGCCATCACTGACTTAATTGTTATCTGCCTTGTCTCTTTACAAAGCCCTACAAAAATATCTGCTCCTAAAACCTCTGCTCTGTGTTAGACAGGGTGTGATCAGCCCATGAACTAGCTTGTCTCCACTCAGATCCTTTCTGCATCCACAGACAGAATCACAGGCTGTTCCTTTCCCTTCTTTGTCAGCTTTGAACCAATGGGTATTCTGCTGTCCTTACTCTTCTAACAAGGTCTCATTTCTGTGTGCCGCCACTCTAGCCACATCCATTCGTATTCCAGTTTATTAATTATATTCATTTTGGCTTTTGTCCTGACATATTCTTTCCAAGAATTTAGTTTTTAATCAAACTTGGCTTTCATGGTGCTATGAAAAATAGTAAAGCAGACATGAAAGTGTGCCTGCTTACCAGCCACCCCTGTGACTCGTTTTCTCTGGCTGTTGCTCTTTTCCTGTTTCCACCACTCACAAACAATAGACTAAGAAATAATGACAACAACCAGAGGAGTAAAACTATTAAAGAGAATGAATTTCTGCATCAAAAAACCCTCAGAATTTTATGACACATAAATTTAAATGAAGGTTGAAATAAAAACATGTTGTTTTACAAAACATTATTTTTACAATGGTAGTTACTTATACAGCAGGGTTTTGATACTGTGTCTGATTATGCTTCACCAGAAGACAAACAGATAATCAAGAGGATTTCCTCTGGTTGGTAATCCTCTTTTTCTCATAGAGATTGCTAGGAAAGAGCTGTGCCTTTCTTTGATTTTCAGATATAACATCAAATAATTCACAGCATCCCAGCCGTGTAACACCAAGTGTTAAAGCAGTTCTGCACATCACTGCCATCTTAACTACCCCATGACTTCCTCTTCCCCCTACATTTTCATCCCTTATATCACTTGTTATGATCTTCTGTTCTTTCTTGACCATAGTTACTAATGTCAACAGAGTAAGTGTGCTGATGTCTTCCCTCTCACATGTGGTCTGGCAAAATCCAGCATTGTGGTTTTGACACTATCAGTGGTGCCTGGCTGCTATCACCCTTTGGCTTCCTTCTCAAGGATTCTGCATCTCCTCGTCTCAAAGACATCTCAAAAAGGTGATGAATATTTGCTTTTATTTTGCCCTGAGGACTTCGGCATTGATTTTCAGTGTTTTGATCCTTGGCAAGGAGTATTATCCTACTAGGAGCTTAATAGAACTCATTATTATTGCCAAGATTTATAATCCCAGATTGAATATATTCCTGAAGTTAATAATTAGAACAAGTGCTGCCTGGTTTTGCAATATATATGTGTTTAAAACAACAGTATGAAGGTAAATGAAGTGTGAAGATGTATTGCATTTTACCTTGCAGTCTCATTTCTAATTCAGGACAGAGGGGAAAAAAATCAATGCAGTGTAATGAGGTGTAATCAGACAAAAGATAACATGGGACTGCAGCAGAGTTTGCGCTGCTGTGGGCTCCTGTATTGCCTTGTCCTACTCCCTTACCTGGCTTGGTAACTCACAGATATGTGACATTCGCCTGACCATGCAGACAAGTCAGGGACACCCAGTTCATGCTGATGATTCCATGAAGGAGACACTGATAGGTTCACAATCTCTTTCTGGGTTTTCCAAGCTAGAGAGCATGATCAGACAGGAATATTCCCAATCAGGTGAAACTGATTGAGGTAGATTGCTTTTCTGCCTTCCATAACAATAACCATAAAGTGTCAATGTTACATCTTGATTTATTTTTATTTGAGACCACAGGCCAGCACAAAGAAGTGCAGTTTGGATTTAAGCTGCCAGACCATAACCCTCATAGCAGATTGAGACTTATGGGGAATAGAAGTCTTCTTTTGCTTCCAGGACAGCCCTGCCTGGAACTAGCGAGTGGGAGGTGTTCCCCATAGGAATGGTACCTGGTTGGAGTTAGATACCTCTGTGTGGGATACTTATCATGACTGGTTACATATTTGGTTGCTAAATAAAGTAGCACCTTTTCCCTCTTTTCAGCCTTCTTCCTGGTAGCAAAATTAATGATATTTCATTGCACGTCAAAGGAAGAAAAATACATCATCACTTGAGTTAATAATTGTATGGATAGAACACACTGTTGTTTCAAAATCTATCCCTAGATCAGTAGTTTCCAGACTAGTGGCCATAATACAAAAAAGGGTTGCAGCAGTTACAAGTGGGTCAAAAGAAATTCAGTTTCATCCTATAGTAACACCTGGTATTTTATGTTGCACAATATAATGCATTTGTAAGTGTGGTCATAACGGAAAGAAAATGAGAACTGCTGTTCTAGATGTTATCAAATAATCTAACACAAAGTTACATTGCAACAAGCTAGTGCAGACTATTACATGTGTTTCCAAATACATCATGAAAAAGGAGAGGGGAAAACATTAAGGTCACAGAATAAGGTAGTAATACCTTCACCATAGACTGTATAAGCGATGAATGAATTTTGACAAGTGAGGAGTCTGAATGATGTAGGCATCTATATGCTCAGACTTATCTCTAGTCTCTCCTTGAATTACATCTAAATTGGTCAATCTCAGAGAAACAGGCAGTTATATAATTTCTGATAGCACCAAACGATATCTAACTAAAAAACTGCTTCAAGACTTTCATAGCTTCTGCATTATATCCTACCAAAAGCCAGAAAATTGAAAATTCCAGTATACTAAATGAACTTTTTGGTCCTTTTATATGTTTTGGGTTAGTTTGTTTAATGCTGGAGATGAAGTTTCTATTTAGTGCCTCTCTTTTCTGAATTGCAGCATATCTGTCCTCCTGAAGCACAAATAAAATCAATACAAAACACTTTACTTCAGAAGTGAATTACCAGCCCAGTGCATAAACCAGACTGAATTATTGTTTCTTTCCAGTGGCGTACATTGACTGTGATATTCAGAAGTGGAGCTACAATGATCATAGACCCAGCCTAGTACTTTTGCTCATACTAAATGACACAAGGAAGGAGGTCAGGGCATCACTAAAGAGTTGAGGCAAAGCCAAGGTGTGAGGAAGAAGTGGTGTTTGTGTGCTCACCATCAGCAGGTTTGAACTCCAAGAGTGTTGCTTCTTCAGATCCATCTTCACTGCTCTCCTTGATGCTCTCCACTTCACACCAGAAGTCCTCCATGGAAGTACTGTCCATAGAGGCCTGTGAGTTGGAGCGACTAAATGCAGGAGGAGGTGCCGACTCGTTGGAAAGCATCCTGTTAATTCTTCGACAACGAGGGAGAGACTTTCTGAAAAGAGACAGAAATGAAAATACTCTATTTTTCTATCGTAGAATCATCATTGAGTCCAACCATAAACCTAACACTGCCAAGTCCATCAATCATGCTAACTCATACCATGCAGACAAAGCATGCAACTAGGTCTTCAGCTCTGTACCAGGGAGGCGGAGGACAAGATGTTGGAGACAAAGTGCACAGTTCTGGTGGTCTTTATGATCTCTGTTGCTCTTTACAGTTATGGCTGGAAGCGTATTTTGTTTCTAATAATTTATATCTTTAATGACCTTTAGTGTTTGACACCCTAGAGGGGGACTCACGAGATACAATTTCTATTTCTAACACTGCTACTTGTCTAATGAAACACTGGAAAAGTATTTTAACTTCTTTGTGCCTCAGTTTCCCTTCCTGTTTTGCTTACTGGCTGAAATGCTTCAATGCAAACATCTTTGGGGAAAAATAATCAGACTTAGGAACCCTGAAATATTTTACAAACTCATCTTGGCTCCAGAAAAGAATTAAAACTTGAAGTATTTTAATTCAGAAGACTAATAACTTTTTATTTGAAAATCCTTTAACCCCCCCCCCCCCATTTTTTCTTAAATGAAATGAAAATAAAAGAAATCTTAACAAAATTTGTCTTTGAAATGAAATAGTATGTTTTAGGCCAAACAATGTTTTGATCACAGGTTAAAAAAAAAAATCACTAAAAATCAAATTTCAAGTTATAATTCAATACAGTGACTGAATCAAAACAAAGAAGTTTGTTCCTTATTCCTTTGTTCTTGTATTTTCCCACTGTAACTTCTTGCAACTGAAGACAGTTATAAAAGTTCATACAAAATCTAATAAAATACCTACCACAGAAGTTTTGTCTGAATTTCACATTATTATGGCTGCAATATTGTAAGCAGCTTTTGTAAGTGTAATTACAGTAGTTACAGTAAACAGTAGTAATAACCACAACAGTATTTGTACAAAGGAGTCAGGAGGTAACACAATTATGGCAGAGAGCTAGACTACAGGAATTAATGGAAAATTCTGTCATAAGGTCTTCTGGCCTTCACTTATCTGAATTAATTCAAACGCAGTTTCCCTTTCTCTTCCTTTTCTTTATGGCATCATCCTGCCAACAGGCCTTTGTCTAAAACCACAGGCATCACTTTTACTCCACTAAAAAAAAAAAAAAAGATACTTCCTTTTCGGTATTTCCCTCCTTGTCAAAGTTTTCGCAATGGACGTATAAACAACATATTATTTAATAAAGCTGACTGGATACGCTTTTCCCCCTTTGAGCTGCTATCTCTGCTGTATCCCCCTCTTGTCGGCAAAGGGCTGGCTGCTTCCCTGAGGCTCCTGCAACCTCCTTGCTTCGTCTGGGTGGTCTCAGGCAATT